GCACCCACACGCACCCGGCGTGGGTTTAAGCCACCAGGTTTGGAATTCGAACCACAGTTGATTACATGGGAGCCCAGCGACATAGCCATTATGCTAACTGCTGGCCCCATGACTGCATTCTGAGATGGGAGCCAATAGGCCCTTCGGGAGGGCGGAGGCTGAATGGTGGTGTAGTGGTAAAGTGTGAGGTTCTACCAGGCTCACCAACATGGGGAGGTTCTGGGTTGGCATCCAGAGACCCTCCTGAGTCTACCAGACACATGCACATCCATGATCAGGGGCCCGAGGCTGGGGATGGTTCCCAGTGTGACAAGGTCCTGTCAGATTTTTCTCTCTCTCTCTGAATAAATTAATGAACTATAAAGAAAGTTTCCTTTTGGGGTCAGCAGGTGGCATGGTGGTTAAGGCACTCGATTCCCACAGGTTGACTGTGGTTTGAGTCCTGGACCTAATGGCTTAAAGATCATGCCTGGCACGTGTGCATGTGTGCCCAAAATCCCAAAAGAAGAATGAAGGAGAAGGAACTGTCGTGTGGCATCCCATCCCCCCTGGGGGGTGATTTCTCGCTTTCTGTCTCTCTTTCTGTCTCTATCAGGCAAGCACAACGCGCCCTATGGCAAAAACCTTTAAAATTGTTTTTTCTTTTAAAAAAAACAAAAAGAGTTTATGATTCTGTGTATAGAGACAGAGTATGTAAATCGCTTAGCACAACACCTGACACATGACAAGAGGTCTTCAAAATGTTCATGGAAAACATATTTAAAAAATACATGCATCAATTTCAAATTTTCTGTACCAAAATAAACGTACATTTTAATTCAATTTTCTACAAACCTTTTTTTTTTTTTTTTTGAGAGAGAGGTTTTTGCTATAGGGGCACGTGCGGTCACCAGACAGACAGAGAGAGACAGAGAGACAGAAAGCGAGAAATCACCCCCTGGGGGGATGGTCACGCCGCAATCCCTTCTCCTCCATTCTCCTCTCGGGATCCTGGACACGCACGTACATGTGCCTGGCGAGTTTTAAGCCACCGGGTCCGGGACGCGAACCGCAGTCGACTACATGGGAGTCCAGCAACATAGCCATTACACTAACTGCTGGCCCCTCCACAAACCTTCTGAAGCTCCTTATTCACAGGGAATGGTTATATAGTGAGCGATCAGTCAGGGGAGGTGTCATCCCTATCTGTTACTATCACTACATTACTTGGGACATACTTCAATCTAATCAAGAGTAGACGCTAGGTTTAGCGTTTAACTCAAAAATAACATACTTTCAGCATTTTATGACCCAAGCACAAACCCAGAGGTCCTTCTTCATGGAGTTTAGGAGATGAGAATTAGAGGACTCTGAATCTGTGTCTCTGATCAAAGCGCCCACAGCGGGATTAAACTTGTGCTCTAATTCCACAACAGTTACACAGCCTTCCAATTGCGTTGTGGTTTCTCATCTGGACTGTCCTACAAAAAGGGTCAGTGTCAAATCCTAGAGTGCTTATATAAAGTGAGGGCTGGGGTCAAGGTTTGAGTTTGAATCCTGCTACAAATTGCCTAATTTATTTTTTAAAGAATTATTTAATTGTATTCATCATCATTGTTATTATTTTTTGGGGGGGAGAGGTTTTTGCTATAGGGCATGTGCACTAGCCAGATAGACAGAGAGAGACAGAGAGACAGAAAACGAGAAATCACCCCCCAGGGGGGATGGCCACGGCGCAATCCTTTCTCCTCCACTCTTCTCTCGGGATCTTGGGCACGCATGCACACGTGCCCGGCGTGAGTTTAAGCCACCGGGTCTGGGGACTCGAACCACAGTCAACTACGTGGGAGTCCAGCAACATAGCCATTAGGCTAACTGCTAGTCCCATCATTGTTATTTTTTAAATTTGACCAGAGAGGGACAGAGAGAGAGAGAGGGAAATTGAGAAAGCAAGCTCCTAGGTCTGGGATTCAAACCATGATCAGCCATGTGGGAATCTAGCACGCCTTAACCACCATGCCACCTGCCAGCCCCCAAACTGCCTAATTTTGACCATATATTTTTAACCTTTCTGGGTCCAAGTTTCTTGGATTAAATGATCTCAAATATCTCTTTGGCCTTAATATCCTATCACTCTGAGCATCCCATTGCCTTGGCAGATACATTTTTAACAGCAACTAAATGAGCTCAGTATTCTCCTTTTATCGGTTTGCCTCTCCTAAATTTGATTTAGGCAAGCCACTTCCTGTGACTTGACGAGGCCAGGGAGAAATGGTAAAAATGTAGTTTCCGGACTTACCAGCCTAAGAGCAAAGCCCTACCTCGTGGAGAAGCTCACATGGTTTAGTCATTCAGCCTTCAAATTCCTCACATGCATAAGCTCCAGCCTCTTTTTCAGCTGAAAAAGAAAATATAAGTCAATCAGACTTGAGTTTACGAAGAATGATTGAGCATTTTCTAAAAATCTCATGAATTATACATTTGAATAAGCACAGATTATGCTATCTGTTACAACACGTGTCATTGGGTTGCAAATTTACACTACCTGTCAGACAGGAAAAGAAAATGTAGCCTCTGTAGTGTGGGTCTATACCTGGTCTAGACTTCCTCATGAGTTCCCACCTATCATATAGCAGAGGAAAGATAATTGAAGGTTTCCAACCTTGGTTAGATGTAATGACTTCAACAATCTCCTTGATACTCATTTTTTGGGGGGATTCTATCTTAGTGTCTTTTGTTTCATGCCCATGCCTTACAAGCTGATATCTGGTGCATGGGGTAATAGCTCTCCTGTGACTTCACGGTTGTGGAATGAAGGGATTGGGGGACCTCAGGACCATCCTCAGTCCCTTGCTTGTCTTGGCCAATCTGGCGGTGAGTTAGTTGAGTTGGTCTTGTCTGTTGGATCTGTATGTATTGCTGATGTCTGTGCTTCTCAAACCTGTGCACATTCTTTCCCAGTGGGCTCTCTTATTGACTCAGTCTTCTCTCACCTGACTGGTCAGTAGACCTCTGGGTCTTAGGAGCCACGCTCTGTGGTGGGGCCCTTACCTAATCATAATTGACCCTCTGGCTCACTCATTGTCATTCTACTCAGCATTAATGATACATGAGAAACAAGGCAGGGTTGACAGTGTTAAATAGACTCTCTAACCAACCATGCCATGCCACCATGTTGTATCACCCTACACTGGCATAAATACTTGCATAGCATTTTCTCCTGTGTTCCAAATGGCAAACAGGAAAACCTTGCCCCACTCTCTACCCACTCCCATATGCTCTTTGATTTATCTATTACCAGTGGTGTGCTGGTATTTTAACCATAAGTTTTCCAATGATTTCAAGTGTCTCTGCCAATTACTATGGTGTAAATATTCCCATCCTGTCCAGCTATCATTTAACAACTAGCTTCCAAAGTTTCTGGAGGTTTAACAACCAGCTCTGAGGAACTGGTATAAACCAGATCCAACACACCACAGTCTGACACTCTCAATCTTGTCCAGCATTATGACATTGCAGCAGACTTCCAACCAGCTACTTCTTCTGCCTCTTTCTCCCTGTATTTTTCTCTCATCATCTCCCAGCATGAGAAGGGAAGGATTTTTCCCTTATTCTTCTACCCATAACAGGAAGCTGCATGCCAAATCAGGTATCTGATCTACACTAAGGCATGAACTCTAAGTTCGGAGCATCCCCCTAAAAATACTAGGAAATGATTCTTTCCCAAATTCTACTATTGAGTTGTTACATCCAATTTTGAATGTTAGAAGCTAAAGATAGTCTCTCTTATTTATATTGGATCATTTCTATTTAGCTACAAGTTCACTGATGCTTTCTTCTAACATTTTCCATGGGGTCCATTCTGTTCATTACATTTTGGTTATTTTATTTTTCACATTTAAAATTATCTTTTTTCTTCCAAATAGTGTCTATTTGTTTGCTTAGTCTTTCTATATTTCCATTCATTTTAAGAGGATTTGTCCTTACTGTTAAGAGCATTTTTCTTTCTTTTTTTTATTTTATTTTATTTTTTTTGGAGAGGTTTTTGCTATAGGGCGCGTGCGCTCGAGGACTCTGAATCTGTGTCTCTGATCAAAGCGCCCACAGCGGGATTAAACTTGTGCTCTAATTCCACAACAGTTACACAGCCTTCCAATTGCGTTGTGGTTTCTCATCTGGACTGTCCTACAAAAAGGGTCAGTGTCAAATCCTAGAGTGCTTATATAAAGTGAGGGCTGGGGTCAAGGTTTGAGTTTGAATCCTGCTACAAATTGCCTAATTTATTTTTTAAAGAATTATTTAATTGTATTCATCATCATTGTTATTATTTTTTGGGGGGGAGAGGTTTTTGCTATAGGGCATGTGCACTAGCCAGATAGACAGAGAGAGACAGAGAGACAGAAAACGAGAAATCACCCCCCAGGGGGGATGGCCACGGCGCAATCCTTTCTCCTCCACTCTTCTCTCGGGATCTTGGGCACGCATGCACACGTGCCCGGCGTGAGTTTAAGCCACCGGGTCTGGGGACTCGAACCACAGTCAACTACGTGGGAGTCCAGCAACATAGCCATTAGGCTAACTGCTAGTCCCATCATTGTTATTTTTTAAATTTGACCAGAGAGGGACAGAGAGAGAGAGAGGGAAATTGAGAAAGCAAGCTCCTAGGTCTGGGATTCAAACCATGATCAGCCATGTGGGAATCTAGCACGCCTTAACCACCATGCCACCTGCCAGCCCCCAAACTGCCTAATTTTGACCATATATTTTTAACCTTTCTGGGTCCAAGTTTCTTGGATTAAATGATCTCAAATATCTCTTTGGCCTTAATATCCTATCACTCTGAGCATCCCATTGCCTTGGCAGATACATTTTTAACAGCAACTAAATGAGCTCAGTATTCTCCTTTTATCGGTTTGCCTCTCCTAAATTTGATTTAGGCAAGCCACTTCCTGTGACTTGACGAGGCCAGGGAGAAATGGTAAAAATGTAGTTTCCGGACTTACCAGCCTAAGAGCAAAGCCCTACCTCGTGGAGAAGCTCACATGGTTTAGTCATTCAGCCTTCAAATTCCTCACATGCATAAGCTCCAGCCTCTTTTTCAGCTGAAAAAGAAAATATAAGTCAATCAGACTTGAGTTTACGAAGAATGATTGAGCATTTTCTAAAAATCTCATGAATTATACATTTGAATAAGCACAGATTATGCTATCTGTTACAACACGTGTCATTGGGTTGCAAATTTACACTACCTGTCAGACAGGAAAAGAAAATGTAGCCTCTGTAGTGTGGGTCTATACCTGGTCTAGACTTCCTCATGAGTTCCCACCTATCATATAGCAGAGGAAAGATAATTGAAGGTTTCCAACCTTGGTTAGATGTAATGACTTCAACAATCTCCTTGATACTCATTTTTTGGGGGGATTCTATCTTAGTGTCTTTTGTTTCATGCCCATGCCTTACAAGCTGATATCTGGTGCATGGGGTAATAGCTCTCCTGTGACTTCACGGTTGTGGAATGAAGGGATTGGGGGACCTCAGGACCATCCTCAGTCCCTTGCTTGTCTTGGCCAATCTGGCGGTGAGTTAGTTGAGTTGGTCTTGTCTGTTGGATCTGTATGTATTGCTGATGTCTGTGCTTCTCAAACCTGTGCACATTCTTTCCCAGTGGGCTCTCTTATTGACTCAGTCTTCTCTCACCTGACTGGTCAGTAGACCTCTGGGTCTTAGGAGCCACGCTCTGTGGTGGGGCCCTTACCTAATCATAATTGACCCTCTGGCTCACTCATTGTCATTCTACTCAGCATTAATGATACATGAGAAACAAGGCAGGGTTGACAGTGTTAAATAGACTCTCTAACCAACCATGCCATGCCACCATGTTGTATCACCCTACACTGGCATAAATACTTGCATAGCATTTTCTCCTGTGTTCCAAATGGCAAACAGGAAAACCTTGCCCCACTCTCTACCCACTCCCATATGCTCTTTGATTTATCTATTACCAGTGGTGTGCTGGTATTTTAACCATAAGTTTTCCAATGATTTCAAGTGTCTCTGCCAATTACTATGGTGTAAATATTCCCATCCTGTCCAGCTATCATTTAACAACTAGCTTCCAAAGTTTCTGGAGGTTTAACAACCAGCTCTGAGGAACTGGTATAAACCAGATCCAACACACCACAGTCTGACACTCTCAATCTTGTCCAGCATTATGACATTGCAGCAGACTTCCAACCAGCTACTTCTTCTGCCTCTTTCTCCCTGTATTTTTCTCTCATCATCTCCCAGCATGAGAAGGGAAGGATTTTTCCCTTATTCTTCTACCCATAACAGGAAGCTGCATGCCAAATCAGGTATCTGATCTACACTAAGGCATGAACTCTAAGTTCGGAGCATCCCCCTAAAAATACTAGGAAATGATTCTTTCCCAAATTCTACTATTGAGTTGTTACATCCAATTTTGAATGTTAGAAGCTAAAGATAGTCTCTCTTATTTATATTGGATCATTTCTATTTAGCTACAAGTTCACTGATGCTTTCTTCTAACATTTTCCATGGGGTCCATTCTGTTCATTACATTTTGGTTATTTTATTTTTCACATTTAAAATTATCTTTTTTCTTCCAAATAGTGTCTATTTGTTTGCTTAGTCTTTCTATATTTCCATTCATTTTAAGAGGATTTGTCCTTACTGTTAAGAGCATTTTTCTTTCTTTTTTTTATTTTATTTTATTTTTTTTGGAGAGGTTTTTGCTATAGGGCGCGTGCGCTCGCCAGACAGACAGAGACAGAGATACAGAAAGCGAGAAATCACCCCCCAGGGGGGATGGTCACGCCGCAACCCCTTCTCCTCCATTCTCCTCTTGGGATCTTGGGCATGCACGCACACGCGCCCGGCGTGAGTTGTAGGCCACCGGGTCCGGGACGCGAAACGTGGCTGACTACGTGGAAGTCCAGAGACATAGCCATTACACTAACTGCTGGTTCCTTAAGAGCATTTTTGTAATCACTACTTAAAAGTCTTTGTCAGATAGGGACCAGCAGATGGCATAATGGCTGTCACTGGACTCTACATAATCGACCATGTTTTGAGTCTTGACCGGGCGGCTTACACTCATGCCGGGTGCATGTGCCGTGTGTGCCCAAGATCCCTAGAGGAGAATGGAGGAGAAGGGATTGTGGTGTGGCCATCCTCCCTGGGGGGAGAGGGGGAATGATTTCTCACTTTCTGTCTTTCTGTCTCTCTCTGTCTTTCTGGCGAGTGCCTGCGCCCCATAGTAAAAACCTCTCCCCCCCAAAAAAAAAGACATTTCCACTGAATTGCCAGATTTTGAACTGCCAGATTTTCAGCCTGTCTTCAGGCTCACATGACTGAGAGAGTCCGCTGCTCCATCAGATGACCACCGTGTGACCTCACCCAACATCTGTGAGCTTCCATTGTAGTAGCAGCCACAGTGCCCTTGGGAAATAGAATTACTCCCTGAAACTCTGCCTCCTTTCTTTAATTCCCTACTATCCACTGGATCCTGACAAAAGGGGCCACGGTATCCTAGTTCACTTTCCCACCCCCACCCTATCCATCTGCTCAGAACAGCACTTGTCCCAAAGAAATCTGATAGGCAGACTGTAGAGATAACCTTAAGTTTTCTAGTACTCACATTAAGAGAGAGAGAAGCAAGGGAAATTAATTTTAATAAAGTATTTTATGTTATTCTTTTTTTGAGAGAGGGGTGTGCATGTGTGTGTGTGTGTGTGTGTGTGTGTGTGTGTGTGATAGGGCATATGCACTTACTGGAGAGACAGAGAGAGACAGAAAGAAATCAATCCCCAGGGAGATGGCCATACTGCAATCCCTTCCCCTTCATTCTCCTCTTGGAATCTTGGGCATGCACACACATGCACACCGGCTTAAATTAAGCCACCGGATCTGGGACTCAAACCATGGTCGACTATGTAAGAGTCCAGCAACATGACCATTATGCCATATGCTGGTCCCAATAATGTATTTTATTTATCCCAATATATTGAAAATGTTATTTTGACATGTAATCAATATTTTTAAATTCTTGTTTTCATACCAAGACTTCAAAACCCAGCCTGTATTTTATATCTACAGAACATCTCAGTTTGGAAGGGCTTTTTTCCAGTGTTTAATGACCACTTGGAGCCAGTGGATACCTTTTTAGATAGCACATGAATGGAGCTCAGGCATTTCTGTTAATAATACTAATAGCTAATACTTATTGTGTATTTACAACATGCCTAGTACTTCCCCGAGCCTCCAAGACTTCCTATGCATTATCAAATTCAATCTTCTCACCATCCCATAAGCTATGAACTCCATCCTATAAATGAGGAAATAGCCTTAGGACCAGCAGTTGGCATAATGAGGAAATACCCTCACCACCGAAGTGCTTGCCTAAGGTGACAAAAGCCATTTAAGTGGCAGAACCAAAGCCAGAACCAAATTGGGACATCTCCAGCCCATGCATTTAGCACTCCCATGACACTCCCTCCTAACCTATGGGACAGTTTAAGTAGTGAGAGAAAGTGGAACTGGCTCTGTAGTGCAGCAATCATACACTACTCAGGAGCACCTGAATCCCATGTGCTGACCACAGTTCAAATCCCCTGCCCAGTCCACCAGAAACACTGAGTTCGAATGCCAGTGCCCAAGATCTGACAGCTAGATGACTGGAAGAAGAGGATCAAGGCACAACCAGACCCTGTGGAGTTTCTCTCTCTTTCTCTTGTGCATGCAGGATCTCTATCATGAATAAACAAACAACTAACTAAAAAGAAAACCTATAGAATGTGCTAACCCTAAGTAGCCGCACACTGAAAATGCGTAGGACAGCTCTAAATGGTATGAATACCAGAGTCAGAAAGCGTTGAGGGGTAAATTCATGTTTGGAAAGTCATCAGAGAGGACAATCACATCCTCCCAGAAAGCACCCCCTGCGTCACAGCCAAAGAATGGCATTAGGTTGAGTGAATGACAAGCCCAGCAAAGCGCAGCCTTTATTATGTCCTCAAGTTTGCAAGCTTCAAAAAGGATTCGTGTAGAGAACATTAGTTTTCAACAGATTCAACAGACAAAATCAAGCTGGCATCCTCCCGGGTTCCTTCAGTCAACAAATTCTGTTATAGCCTCTGGGGGTAGTGTTCCTAGCCCACATAGTGGGGTGTGGTGACTGCTTCATAACATACTGTTTTCAAAGACTTCTCCATGACGAACGTCAGTAGTTTCCTCTTCTTGTCCTTGCTAACTAAGAAGGACAACCTCTTAGCAGTGGGAAGGTGAGATCTGCTACCAACTTCACCATATGAAGCTAATAACAGCCCCTGTAATTGTCCTGAGCAATTAAATGTTCCTTTTGGCCATGATTTACCTTATGAAAAATACTTCCTCCTGTAACCTTCAGACTTTCCATATAAAATGTAGAATTGTTTTCAGTTAGACTTAAAGTCTATTATAAGGAACAGAAAACCTAGCAGTGACTTACACGAGTCAGAAGTTTATTTCTCTCTCCCATTAGCTGGATTTTTTAAATGTGTGACTTGATCATCCTCCACAAACGGCTTTTTCCTCTTAATCTAAAATAGCTGTTCTAATCCAGTCGTTTCATTGCATAGAGACGAAGAAAGAGAGAAGAAAGGGCAAGAAAGTAATCATTACTTTCTGGAAGCTGTGTACACAATGTATACCTGCAAAGGGGCTTCAAAAAGTTCATCGGTAAGTTATCTGGGGTGGAGGAAACATAAGCTAAGTTATCCATTTAAAAATAAAGTTCATGGGAAAATTGTATCATCTTTTCATTCCATTTTGCCATGAATGTGTTGAAGCTCTTCATGTCCCATATTGGCTAGAAGGCCACCTCAGAAAACAGAAGGCCTCAGTTCCTTCCTGGCAATTGGTTGGAGGAGTGAGAAGGGTATCTCACATACAGTTCCTTGTTATGTGGGACTTTCGTCATGAAAGCTTGCTTCCTGAAAACAAGATTCAGCAAGAGAGAGAGTCATCCAAGCTTCAAGGGAGGATGAAAAACATAATCTTTGATCTGAGTATCTGTAGAGGCCAGTGGATTACGCCTCTCGGATCT